AAAAAATTTTGAAAAAACATTTCTTCTTAGAGGGCACTTATTTACAGTCTAAAATGTATTTTAGGAATTTTTTCATTAAATTCCTCTTTGAACTTAATTAACTAATATAATTTTGTACAAATAATTGGATGTTATGCTACTATTTATAAAAATAAAATCAGAAATCCATTAAAAGATAAGTTCTCTATCATTTTTTAATTCACAAATGATTTTGTCCTCACACTTGCATTGCCTACTAAGAAAGTTAGTAGCCGGTAGTCATCGGGTTAATGTAAATTACTTATTATAATATTCGCATCACTCAGGCAAAACATAATTTTCATAGCCTTCAATCTTAATTGGTTACAAAGCCATGAAATAGACAACCAGACCCTACTTGCCACACCCACCTGTCACAACCTCTCTTTCAGAAATTGTCAATAGTTCTCTCTGACTTTCAGTACTATTTTATTTATAACCAAGGGAAAGCCAAGGTTTGCATCTATCAAAGAATGTAATATATTATGATGTTTTCTGTAAATAGAATTGTCAAACTTGCTTTCAGTTCAAGCTTGATTCCCATGAGAAACACATTAATGAGGTTAGCTGAAATTTTAATGGCTCTTGTTGCATAGTTAGAAAGCCAGAAAAATTGTGATAGTTAAGGGACATTGTCTGCTTTTTGCACATTATTATTCTGTGTTCTTTGATACATTATTTAATTAAATAAAAAGTTATTTAGTGCAGTACTACCACCAGTATAAAAAAGTAGGGTTAAATGTCATCGACATTCGACAGCAAAAAAAAAGGAGACCCAGGTAAATACTTTTTTTCTTGTTTTTCATGTGTATTCTTTATTTATCATTATAAAAGTAACTAAAATATAAAACTAGGAAACATTTTATATTAGTTAAGGTTAGATTAGGTGAAATAAATAATAACATAAGAAAAATTTTTCATGGTGTACACTTGCAAGTAGTTCGTGCATAATGTAATTTGATAGCGTAATGTAAGCTGCACGTTTTGCAAGTAATTTAAAACTTATAATGGTATGAATAGTAATTAGACAGGGTTCAAAGGACAATAAAATTTAAGTATAAATAGATGTATACTATTCATTATGTTAGAAAAACACATAGGTTCAAGAAGTTTTGACATGAATAAAAACCCTATAACCCGAGAGTAAAGCTATTTAGGGTAAACAAATGTAATTTCATATTACAATTTCAAGTCATTCTAGAAAGAACAAAATGGTGAATTAAATTTAATTAGATTTTGTTTTGGTGGTTACGAGGTCAGTCAAATTGATCAACTTTGTATAAAGTTAGGGTAGAGAAAATAACAGATAAAATATAAAGTTTTACTAAAAGTCTGCCACATTTTTTGCAGATACACAAAGTTTATTAAAAGTTATAGTATAAAAACTATAAAAAGTACAAACTTATTATGAGATCAGTCTAATTGACCGAAATCATAGTGTGAGAGTTAATAATAGCACAAGAACTCACATCAGTTGATTGTACGTCACACAATCCAAAACAAAACTAACATGCAATAATAACAGAGATAAGTGGTAAATACTTAACCCACTGCACTGACCATCAGAAAATTTTGCACTGTCTTATTACATGTTACATTATCTTTGACCAAAACATTTCTGTAAATGTAGATAAACAAAACTGAACAGATAATTGCAATCATTCTTTTAAGATGATGAGGAACCCACTTTTTGGAAAATAAAATTTTGGCAATGGCTTGAATGAGTAACTGAGAAAACTTTATTATAAATGTACAACGTTTTAACCTAACAATGACATAATTTTGTTGAAATGTTGTACATCTATAAACTACTAAAACTCTGAGATTGTTTGTTTGCTTGTCTGTAATTAAATACAGCAAAAAAATGATGCATAATAG